ACATCGTGTTAATTTGATTGCTAAATAACAGTTGATGCAAAACTGTTCTGTTACGACGCGATGATTAGTTAAAATTTGACCTTGTTAGTTTATCATGTGTAAAACCCCAGATTTGACCCCTGACCCCTCTGGCCTATGTATAGTGTACTTGCATATCAGTATGTACCCAGATTTTACTTCTGACCCCTCTGGCCTATGTATAGCGTACTTGCATTTCAGTTTGTACCCAGATTCCCCCCTGACCCCTCTGGCCTAGGTATAGTGCACCTGTATATCAGTTTGTACCCAGATACTCCCCTGACCCCTCTTACCTATGTATCGTGCTCTTGCATATCAGTATGTACCCAGATCTTACACCTCACCCCTCTGGCCTATGTATAGTGTACTTGCATTTCAGTATGTACCCAGATTCTCCCCTGACCCCTCTGGTCTATGTATAGTGTACCTGTATATCAGTTTGTACCCAGATACTACCCTGACCCCACTTACCTATGTATAGTGTACTTGCATTTCAGTATGTACCCAGATTCTCCCCTGACCTCTCTGGCCTATGTATATTGTACATGCATATAGTAAAGTACCCAGATTTTACTTCTGACCCCTCTGGCCTGTGTATATTGTACTTGCATATCAGTATATACCCAGATTCTCCCCTGACCCCTCTGGCCTATGTATACTGTACCTGTATATCAGTTTGTACCCAGATACTACCCTGACCCCACTTACCTATGTATCGTGTACCTGTATATCAGTATGTACCCAGATTCTCCCCTGACCCTTCTGGTCTAAGTAAAGTGTATTTGTATAGTGTGTGTCAGTATATAACCAGATTCTCCCCTGACCCCTCTGACCTATGTATAGTGTACTTGCTTGTCAGTATGCACCCAGATTTGACCCCTGACCATTTTGACCCTTGTATAGTGTACGTGCGTGTCAGTATATACCCAGATTCTCCCCTGACCGTTTTTTCCTATGTATAGTGTAGGTGCGTGTCATTATATACCCAGATTCTCCCCTGACCGTTTTGACCTATGTATAGTGTAGGTGCGTGTCATTATATGCCCAGATTCTCCCCTGACCATTTTGACCCATGTATAGTGTACTTGCGTGTCATTATATACCCAGATTCTCCCCTGACCGTTTTTCCCATGTATAGTGTACGTGCGTGTCAGTATATACCCAGATTCTCCCCTGACCGTTTTTTCCTATGTATAGTGTAGGTGCGTGTCAGTATATACCCAGATTCTCCCCTGACCATTTTGACCCATGTATAGTGTACTTGCGTGTCAGTATATACCCAGATTTGACCCCTGACCATTTTGACCCATGTATAGTGTACGTGTGTGTCAGTATATACCCAGATTCTCCCCTGACCATTTTGACCCATGTATAGTGTACGTGTGTGTCAGTATATACCCAGATTTGACCCCTGACCATTTTGACCCATGTATAGTGTACTTGTGTGTCAGTATATACCCAGATTTGACCCCTGACCGTTTTGACCTATGTATAGTGTAGGTGCGTGTCATTATATACCCAGATTCTCCCCTGACCATTTTGACCCATGTATAGTGTACTTGCGTGTCAGTATATACCCAGATTTGACCCCTGACCATTTTGACCCATGTATAGTGTACGTGTGTGTCAGTATATACCCAGATTCTCCCCTGACCATTTTGACCCATGTATAGTGTACTTGCGTGTCAGTATATACCCAGATTCTCCCCTGACCATTTTGACCCATGTATAGTGTACGTGTGTGTCAGTATATACCCAGATTCTCCCCTTACCATTTTGACCCATGTATAGTGTACGTGTGTGTCAGTATATACCCAGATTTGACCCCTGACCGTTTTGACCTATGTATAGTGTAGGTGCGTGTCATTATATACCCAGATTCTCCCCTGACCATTTTGACCCATGTATAGTGTACTTGCGTGTCAGTATATACCCAGATTTGACCCCTGACCATTTTGACTCATGTATAGTGTACTTGCGTGTCAGTATATACCCAGATTTGACCCCTGACCATTTTGACCCATGTATAGTGTACGTGTGTGTCAGTATATACCCAGATTCTCCCCTGACCATTTTGACCCATGTATAGTGTACGTGTGTGTCAGTATATACCCAGATTCTCCCCTGACCGTTTTGACCTATGTATAGTGTAGGTGCGTGTCATTATATACCCAGATTCTCCCCTGACCATTTTGACCTACGTATAATGTACTTGCGTGTCAGTATATACCCAGATTTGACCCCTGGCCATTCTGTCCAATATCCCAGAGTGGACGTAGAGCTGTTCGGCGTCGCCTTGTACAAATTGGATTACTCCATCCCACCCTCATGCTTCCAACAGCCTTCATCTGCCTTAAAACATCTTGTTTGTAATTGTGTTGTGACTGATTTTAATTTTGTTTTACTGGCTCGTTTTTTTATTGTGTTTTGATCAATGCTTTAAAACCGAATGGAATAATTATTATGGGTATATAATTGGATTAAAACTGTTTTGAATTATGTTTTTATGTTTGCTAGATTAACCTTAAACTATATAAAAGCAAAAACGGGATTAGGTTATGTAGAAATGTGTGTATATTTTCTACCAACCTTAACTAGGTAAGATAGCCCTGCTTCCATTAGTATTGTATCCTAATGCATTGCTACACGTCCTCCTAAAATGTAACTCTTACAGTCGTTTCAAAAGTGTTGTACATTCATTGAAATCCGTCAAAGTCTTACATGTAAGTCATAGTAAATAGGGAAAAAAATATCTATTATATTTTCTGTAGTTTCACCAATACGATAAATCTGAACATTAATCCTAAGTACACATTTTTCAACGTTTTTGCATGAATCCAATCGTTAATTTCCTTTCACAAAATTATTCCTCTAGTGTGTCGTAAAGTTTCAGTCGTAGGTTTACTGCGAAGGGATAGGTTTAATCATAGATGATAGTTAATTTAATTAAATTAAACGCCCACTCTACCTGTTTTTCAGTTTACCGTACTGTAAGCAGTGCCATCAGACAGTACCTAACATTGTGACCCCGACCCCAGGGACCAGTGACGTATGAGGTCGGAAGAGGTCACGCAGCCCCCCTAACCCCCTTCAAACTCCCCCCCCCAGCATGACCCACCCCCCATAAACTCCCGGGACAAGGCAAGTGTGAGGCGTTGGAGTGGCTCTTGTCTTTGATTGAATGAGAATCCATTTTTCATGAATTCATTTTACAACGTATACACCTCGGCGCAAAATAGTATGGAGAGTTGTATTCTGATTGTTAGCTATCCTCACAGTTGGTCGTATTATTTTTGGTGAAATTGGAATTGTTAATATCATTCATTTATGTAAATAAATCGTCCTATTCTATTCCCATCGAACTGATAACATTTTCTACAAAACATTTTCATTAAGCTTGTCAAGTAATTGAACGATGTGAAAAGGCAGGACATTTTTTTGTGTTATTGTCAGGAATTATTATTGTCAAACATGTACAGTTAAAAATATATTCTGCTCATGTATAGTACTCAGGTGGATACATTAATTTGTGGGTGACCTTTTCATATTAGTTAACCATAAAAATGTGTAACCCAATAATACTGTTATAAAATTTTGTTTTATACTCCGCTCACAAAATTTAGGTGTTTTTTTTTTTTTTTTTTTTTTTTTTTTTTTTTTTTGAAGACATCTACCCAGATCTCCAATAATTGTAACATTAGCTTATCAGATGAAGTTTGCCAAAACTGCAATCAGCTGCATACATTAAACACAAAATGTATGGAAAAGTGGGGGAACTTTCCCTCAAAAAGCCGATTCATTTAACTCTTGTTGATATAAATAACGCTGGTTTAGTACTATCTCAGGCAAATTATACAGAAAAGTGTACAACAAACCCATAAACATACAGTGTCTGACTAGAATGATTGTTGGGAACAAATTTATAGCCACTAGAACGACACGTAAACCAACAAGAAAAGCTCGGTGTTCTGTTATTACAGTTACAATTTACTAGATGCGTATCTGCACGGAAAGCCACGCCGCGAGGGTCATAATGTCTCTTAATGTTGCGAATTAACAAACGCCGACTCCTACATAACGTTTTCTCCCCAGGCATTATCTTTATCGGTTGTTCTACTGTTCACTTAGAACTGTTCACTGAGTTAGAGTATCCTAAATGTATGCGTTCGTAATGTTTTTAAACTGTAGGACTCGCTTTCAAAGATATTTTAAGGAATCTTTTATTTAAGTAGGCCTATGTGTTTTGCTGACAGCTTTTATGGAGTATTTTGTGAGGATGTAATTTCGTGGATTGCCCATCCATAGACCGCGTTTGTGTATTTTTTGCTTGGCTTTTGGCTAAAATCATATTGTAAAGTGATAGTTGGACAAAATATATATTTAAATCTATGTCACACAGTTTTTCGTTGATAGGTCTGTAATGTACCAAAACCCCAAAAAATGTAGGTATGCACTAAGATCCTAAACTAGTCATATTTAACGATATGTGGTGGTTGTTCTGTCATAGATGTTTATTTATAACGGTTTTGTAAAATACAATCAGGTCTCATACTTTAGGGACCGACGAATTTTATATGCACTTTTAGCATAAATAAAGGCATTTTCACAATTTGAACTTTTATGGTTACACACGTGAGTTTTAAACAAGTACATTTGGAATTTGAGGATCATTTTACTATATTTCTAACAACAATTAGTGTAAGAATTTCGCCAGTGTTGATTACCGCCCTTTACTGGGGTATAGGTAAAGGGTGATAGCTAAAAAATATAATGATCATCCCCAAGCAAAAGATCCTGATATAACAAAAGTAATTTTTTCAACAATATATCACACAGTTGAGAGGTATATTTGTGGGAGGTGTCTTTAACACTTGCAATACCATTACAGATGTAGCATTACTCCACACGCCCAACCCCCCACACATTCACACAGTCACACACCAGGACCCACACATATCTTATCAGTGTGTCTCCCTTATCAGGAACCAGTGTTGCCAGTGTCAGTGTTGTGTTGTGTGGCGTCACTGGATACATGGCCTCCGGTAAAACTGCCAGGTAAGTTTTATTATTTCGTATTCTATGTAGACAATTGTTTCTGAGTTTACCGATAGCTGTTCACCAATCTTATATAGATTTTTTTGTTAGTTCCTAATGCAATTTGAATCTTATTTACTCCACAGAATATTAAGGATTGAATATATGTATCAAACATAGTTTACTCGTAGTTTAACCATAGTTGAAGCCTGGTCACCAATAATTATCACGTCCAGGCATTGGAACACAAGTATTTCAAAATAGCTTATAAAGGCAAAAAAAAAAACACGAACTTTACTGTCTTAGATTCGAACTCATTGTAATTTTTTTTTTTATCAGTGGTACGTAAATGGTTTAGGTTTGGTGGACAGCTATCGGAATTTCCCAGTGTTTAAATTTTCCTCATTCTTTACATACATTTTAATATATTTTATTTACACCTTTATTCACTTTCTTAATCCTGTAATCTAAAAATTACTTTTAATCAGGCATTCGGAAAGTGTTATTATTACTTATTCTTACTGATTTAATTATAAAATGCTATTAGAGCAGGCTATGTATTGGGTAGGTTCAATGGCAAAGAAATAATTAAATTATCAAGCGCCGTTCATCCTAGGTTATACAATACCCGCAGCACATCGCTGTAGCTAAATCACGGAAAACGCCGTTCTTTATGATTACACAGTTGATCCATTTCTCACTACAATTTTAATCCATGATTGTATATTTGATTAATCTCCAAACGTGCAAAATATTTAACTACTTAATTTGTATTAGACTGTGTGTTTAATCAAACAGCTTACATATAACTAAACTTAGGTCCCGCAACCAATTCAACGTTCTTAAAATTAATGTACACCCGTTCTTCTAACTCCTAATAACTAAACAATTTCTATTTCTAATATAAATAACAGTATTTTTTCTAGAAATGTTATTCCTCAAAAACTCAGATGTAACGGCATAATGTAAGTGCACCAAGGAAATCACCGCCAGGGGACCGGGTTAATAGGGTGCATTAGGGCAGCATTACATTAGGGTAGGTGGGTCACCACTTGCCGTTATATTTCCGATTCAACCGCCTCCCATTCCTGTCATAATGAACTCGAAATGCATCGTTGCTGGTTAACATTTCTCAAGTGATAATACTTTGCTAGGAGGGTTTTTTCAAATTGTTTTGCTATTTTTAGACACAAGACGGAGTTTTAAGGTACATTTTTACTTAACATGAATCTGTTGTTCGAAGGAGAAATGGAACGTAATTTTTATAATGATCCTAAAGTATGGCAGAGAGAATTCGATAGCTATCCACTAGTATCGAAGATGAAAAGTGGATGAAGAAAATAAACACTTGAGAAGGGAGATGTGTCGATCTGTTGATCCTATGACACACTAATACAATCTGGCAGCCTGCCACTGCACAGCACTACCAACCTTATACCGCTAAATTATTTGGCCTACTCAGCATCTTATGCTTTACATCTTCCCTTATATAACTGAAGTTCATGAATTCAGAGAATAGATTATTCGTTATTTTGGTTCTCTGTATGACACACATTGAATCTTCTTACCTGACTCTGCCAACCCTTGCCAATCTTGTACCACAAAATTGCACTGGTCACTTCTTGTAAATCGAACACTTCTGGGGAATCTGTTATGATGTGTTGGTCATTACATGACACACCACTACAATCAAGCAACACTCTACTGCAGAACACTACCAAACCCAGGTTCATGAATGATAATATTCAGCATGTCTTCTGATTCATACCGTAAAATTGTTGAAAGTAAACACTTGTAAGGGAAGATATGTCCATCTGTTGATCTTTATTACAAACTAACACATTCTGGCAGATTGCCTCCTCAACCCACTGCCAAAATCATGGCAAAATACTTTGGTTGATTAGCATATCTCCTGCTTTGCACTCCTTTATTTTTGAAAACAGGCTGAAAAATGGATAAATACAGTTTTTATGCTTAGTAATTTCGTTTTCCATCTATCGCTACGGAATCGTCTGTTCAAACCCAACTTTATGACAACAATTCCTCCTTTTGAAATGTTTAATCCTTTTGAGGCGTTAATGCGTTAAAGCGATACAGGTTGAATTTTTTTTTTTGTTACGCCATATGTTTCTTGATAAATAGTTTGTATAAATATAAATTATAATACACTGAACTCCATCAATAAAATATAAAAGCCAGCCGGTACTATTTCCCCCATGTCATTCTACACATTTAGTGTTGCCTCCTCTTGTGATATACTTACGCAATCTCACATGTTTCAGCACCCAATGTACCTGACAGGGATGACATAATTGATACGATATTTTCCAAAAACTACTGGACTCGAGTATTATCTTTTGGCTTAAAATTCGTTGCGCTTTATGGTGACTTTCAAAATCGTTATTTCAATTTTATTTTTATTTTAGTTAGAGTGAAACCCCAAAATCTAACCCTATTACTTTCTTTCTTTTATTTCAATTACATCCACTTATTTTGTTTATGCCTATAATTTTATTTTGTTTAAAGTGTAAATGTCTAGTGTATAAAACATTAGTTTAGCTAATTGCATGGTAGATATAATATAGTCATATGAGAAAGTGCCACGGTTTTGTTTATTAGTGTTGATCAATTGTAACGGTTTTAGCATTTACATGAAGGGTTATAAATAAATTTCTTGCAGGTTATAGCGGTAAGTATTTTGAAAACATTTAAATTAAATTGTACTTTGATGTAATGTATTCTAGTAAGTTCCATTTTATTTTGTCATTGTTTTATGACAGGTAAAATGTATAATGTAGTTATTTAGGTTTACTGACTACTATTAAGAATTTTTTTATTATTATCTCCTCTACATCCATCTGATAATTTGAACTTTTTAACCTTCGAATATGTAGGATTCATCAATTTCATCAATTTACTTATGTCAAACCTTATTCACAAAAATATACGAGTACATGACTTTAAAAAAATGCAAATGAAGAAGTTAAGTTATTTTGTTAAGTAATTATGAGAACAAACTTCGAGATTTATAAATGTCAAAACACGTAACTTGTTACTGAAACTGTGTGTCTGCAAAATCTCCTTTGAACATCCATCTTAAAATTCTTAAGTATTTCGTAGTATTTTCTTTACAAAATTATTCAAGGCATCTAAAAGTAAAACAACAGCGTCTATGCATATAATCCCTTAACTTAGAGAATTGAAGGCTTGATGACAGATGTATGCACGAGTAAATTCGTATTTAGCTTCTACGAGTTACGTATATCAAAATCTCATATGTTGTCAAAATCACATACATTTACAATCTTCGAACTTAGAGTTGCCAACTAGTGTTCCCCCCACAAACGATCTATGAGTTCAAATAACAACGTCTAAGGATTAATTCCGTCCTATAAAGGACAAGGGGATGTTAACATCTCGTTACACGGTTCGCATAATTGGACCATCGCTGGAGAATTCATTCGCCTGAATCCTTACACTTTGACCGCTCGACTGGAAACACCGCTCGCGCCCTGCTAGGGGGTGGCTACGTGCCATCTTGTTCCGCTCTATGAGCGCGCTAGAAATATGAGTTTCAATCGCCAAACTCGTTCAGTTGGTTTATATTTCCTAAGAAAAATACTAAATCTAATAATCGTTGAGTGTAAAATGAAAGTATTGATCGTTATTATTCAGTATGCCAATAATAATTTAAAAAAAAGTTTATGTGTCTATTTTCACAGAACTATATCCAAGGGTGTTAGCTGTTTAAGATGTATTACCCTGTTACATTTATGTTTTTCAGACCAGATAAGTCTGTAAAATCAATCAATTAATAACTCATTCATTGGACCTACATTTACTCTATAGTAATAAACTAAACTAATAACTAAACTATACTCCATAGCCACACAATGGATCTATGCTGGTAGATAGTGATCGTCTAGTATCAGAGGTTTGCTAGTTTGATCCTGACGGTCAGCAGCTGATGGGCTTTGAAAGCTCAAAACTGATTACAGCCCCTTAGTCAGTAACAAAGCAATAATCTCATTAGTTTACACCGTATTTTTTCACTCATATTCACTTCAAAATACGCACTTTGGCTTATTAGTGTCCTATAGATTTAATAAATAACTAATATAGTCTAATTAGTCTGTTTCCTTATAAACATCCAATAAAATACACTTACCTACCCCAACTCGACGATTGACTAAGTTAAAACTCAATTAGTTTATCGTTTATACGATACGATGCCCTTGCTTTGTCACCAAAAAAGGTCCAGTTACTAACGTAGGTAGCCTGGCGACTATACAGAATAGCAATCCTTTATGTCAAAGAGATGAAATTCTCCTCTCTTTAAAGCTTAAGTCGGATTCCTAGCGTTCCTTTGTTGTGACGGCGCTGCATGCCAAAGTAGTTTTTAACAAGTAAGCAGACTTTGCCAATCTTGCAACATTAGTTTCGTGAGGGGTGATTAGATGTGTAAACAAAATCTTGTAAACGAAATATATCGATTTTAAATACAACGAACACTATTTACCATTAGTAGAAAGGATGTGCGGAAGGATGACAAAGTATAATCATTTTTGTACCTGGCACGTATGCATAGTGTCAATAAAAGAGTTATAAACGAAGAAAGCACAATTTTAAGGTAATGCGTAAACTAAATAAGACTGTTGAACGTATAAAAAGTACAAGAAACTACATGGAAATTAATAGGTCGATAACTCTGTGATAAATCATGTCAATCGCAAAAAAAATGAACAAAGTTAAGGCAACTTTAATATAAACACAAAGAACAAATTAATATAGCCTACACTAAACAATAGGATTGACCCGAGTGAACATTACAATTTAATACATACAAAATCGAATCCATACCTGACAATATATACTGAGCAAGTATGAATGTATTCAATTTTAGGTGGAATCATCACTTAAAAAAATAAACTTACACTGGCGTTAAAACACTGAATATTAGATACATCAAAGTGCTCTCATCTAATCAAATTAATAGGTTTTCGAATCACCTTTATGGAACC